ATCCGCCTATTTTCAGCCCCCCAAACGCTGGGATTACAGGTGCACATCACCACGCCCAGTCTCATTCACTGTCTCAGCACACCCCAGGGGCAGGGCCGGCCCCACACGCGGAGGATCAACCCCTGTCCCTGAGCCTTCCTAAGCAGGTGCTTTTAGTCTGCTGAGGTATCTGGCCAGCCCTCCCTTTTCTTTCTCTATAGCATGTGAATAAGTTCCTCTAGAAGTTGGGTCAATGCACGTGAGATAATTAGGACAGTGGCTAGCACACAGTAAGCATCCAAAACAATAACTGGTATTACATCTCCAGAATTTAAAATAGGGGATTCAGATCAACAGATTCATTATTGGAGCCTTCATGATGCCTTGGCATTGCCTGACTCCCCTTGTGCTTAGCTTGGAGATGCTCACCTGTGAGCCAGTGCAAGCTCCTGGGTGTCTGACCCTTGGCTGATCCAGAGCGCTATCATAAACCATCCTAGGGCCCCAAGAACCCCCCACCACCCCAATGTTTCTAGAGAAGACATTTTTTGGTGAATTTTTAAATTCTAGTACAGAATTAAATGTCACTGAATCTGTCAGAGGATGGGTGTCCCACATTCAGGGGTAGGTCATAGGAGGCATCTTGGACACCATTAATCACCGAGGCCAAAACAGGACCTAGAAAGAAGTAAATGAGTTTTGCAGGTAACACCAACAGCTACCCAGAGGCAGACACAGCTCCATCAGTAGTCTACTCTGTGCCAGCCCCACCTCCAGGGGAGCTATTGAGACTGGGCATGGTAGTGTGCTCCTGTAATCCCAGCACTCTGGGGGCTGTAAACAGGAGAATCACTACGAGTCCAATCTACACAGTGAGACCTTGTAGACCCTGTAGACCCCGCACTAAATACAAAAAGAAAAAAGAAAAAAGTAGTCTACTCTGGCCTTAGCTCTGGAGCGGAAGCTGGAGGTGGCTGCTGGATCTGTCTGCCACCAAACACTGGAAGGGCATGTGTGGCTCTGACTGAGGAGTCCTCTCTTGGAGTGACCTGCTGCTAACGGGACCTTGATGAGGTCAGTCACAGTCTGGTCACCGACTAGCACTGTCTTGGCTGAATTCATTTGTGCTTCTGGTCTTAAATCTTATTTCTGGCTTCATCTCCCCAGCACTGCTCTTCCTTATAATGCCAACAGCAGTCTAGGAGTCACCCACTCTTATTATTACTTCTTAATGAAACATACACACCTAAAGATCTAAAATCTCCTCTTTTGGAAGGTGTTGGCAAACACCTTTTGAATTTCTGTGTCTCTCTTTCAAGCCTGTCTTTCCGAGACCCCACTGCTTCTTCTATCTTACATTCCTTCACCATATCAAACTAAAAAGATATAGTAAGGGCCAACCTAATAGCTCAGCAAATTAATGCGCCTGCAAACAGGCACAGGGGCAGGAGGTTTGATCCTCAGGCCTACCTTGCCCCGGGGGTGGAGGGGCACTGAGTCCGTGATTGAGACTGGGTGTGGTGGCGCCCGTCTCTAATCCCAACTCTTGGGAGGCTGTAAACAGGCAGATCACTACAAGTGAGATCTACTAGTGAGACCCTGAACACCCTATAGACCCTTCCCTAAAATACCAAAAAAAAAAAA